CAGATTTGTTTGTTTTGTGATGATGTCTTCAATTCTCTAATTAATTTATTTTGGTGAATATTTTTGTAATTTTTGGTAAAAAGTGATATTTTCGACTTCTTGTTAAAATCTGTAAGTCCGATTGCTTTGATACTATTCATATTGTTCATTTTCTAATGATGTCTTCAGTTCTTTAATTGAAATGTGCATTGCTAACAGCGGAGCTATCTCAGCCGATAGGCTGCTTGTTTTTATTATTTTTTTCAAATTTATAATTAATATACATGACTTGATAAATAGGCTCTATTTAGTTCCCCTTTAATGTCTTCACAGTATTGGTCGCTGGATGTTACCGTACATTCATTGTTCAGCACATAATTTCACATAAGCAGAAAATGTGGTTTACAAATGTTGCATAAGGTCCTTATCGAACATAACGCAGATATGAATGCATATACCGGTATATTATTGCCTACTCACAATAGTCATCACAGGGAGGTTGCAAGATATAAAAAATATTTTGGCAAAAATGCAAAATGATATCCGCCATGTTTGTTTCATAACAGCTCATTGTCACTGGAGATTGCCCATTCAGGCTAAACACAAATTTAGATCAAACATAATCGTCAGCTACTATGAAAAGCTTGACTTAAACTCGTGTCCAAAAAGATTGAAATGTTCTAAAAATGACTCCTAAATTATCATACTACATTTTTGAAACATTGATAAATAACTTGAAAGTGTTTTTTTTACCAATGCTTCACCAAGCTGCAAATGGGCCAGGTTTTGAATTTATCAAACGATTTATATATTATTGCCCATCCGCATCTGTCACTGAAAACTATATATTGCTATAAAACCTTGTCAGTTAATGTCCTTATTTGGTCAAAACTGTATCATGAGGTTACTATCTTAGGTTAATCCTGGTTTGTAAGTTCATTTTCATCGTCTCAGGAGCTCAGCCCTTCCTTTCTTCCCTCACATTAATATGAATGTTAACAATGACACTGTTGTTCTACTATATTTTATTTAAAGCTATTCTGTGGTTCTTACAACAAGAGACATGGTGATGTCAGATTACTGTTACAGGAAGATGTATTTCTTGCAACGAGAGACAGGTAAATTATTCAAAGTATTTGTGTGAAAGAAAAAATCATGGTATACGGTGATAGAATTTATGTTGCGTGAGAAGACAGGTAAATATTTTGCTTGTTGCTGAATCATCACTTTGGTTTATTTTCACAAATATAGAAAAAAGTTAAAATTTTCTGACTCCATTCATATACTCAAAGACAAATCAGATGTATTTGTTCACGTCAATGATGAAAATGAAGAACAGCTTCTTGAGAAGAAGGCAACAGAGAAGACACCAATTGTGAAACCGAAAGAGAAGCCAACATCTGTTGCTGCTCGTAAGTACTGTGTTACTTGTTTAATGAAAGACCTACAAAAATTTTTTGGAAATTTTTTTTCAGTCTCAATGGCCACAGGTTTATGAAACAAAGCGTTGACTGTTGCTTCTACAGGGCGCTGTTTATGAAAAAAGCGTCAATTTATTCTGATTAATAAAACTGAAACAGTAGTAACTGCTTTGATACCAAATCATCAGCAATAACTAGTAGTTGTTATTATTACTATTACTGTAGAATATATACTATATTTTCACTGATAAAGGTAATTGATGAGGTAATTAGGGAAAATTAGATCAATAATTTTTTTCTTCAGGTTTGCATGTTTTTGTAGCTTACGCCAAATCAGCGGCACTATTTGAATAACGTGATATGATAGAAGGCTTAACTATTCATTGGATTTTAAATTTGTTCATTTCGCTACTAGATAAATACGCTATTAAATTGTCACTGGATTAATACAAAGTGACAATACATCACTTAGCCAGAATTTTGGCTACTAGATAAATACGCTATTAAATTGTCACTGGATTAATACAAAGTGACAATACATCACTT